AGGGGGTTAGCAGAGGAAAAATAGTAAAAAAGATTTAGGACTAGCAAGATCGGAGAAAACCACCCACGTTTAAATCTCTAAAGGGGAAACATAATTATTTTTTTTAGAAAAAGGGGGGGGGGGGGGGGGGGGGAATAAAAGGTAACTGACAAGAATCTCTTCACTACTACCGCTTTCTGGGGCATCTTCAAGATACATGCCTACTAAATGCTTGGCCAGTCGACGGTCGTTCTGCTCGTCAATCCGGTCCAGAACAAGGTATACTAAATCAAACCGAGAGAGCAATGTCGGGGGCAGGTCGATGTTCTGTGGCACGGGGAGGTTGGGGTTATATTTGCTTCCAATAGGGTTGGCCGAAGCCAGGATGCTCGTGCGCGCATTCAGTGTCGTGATGATTCCCGCTTTGGCAATGGAGACGGTCTGCTGTTCCATCACTTCATGCAGAACGGAACGAGTTGAATCGTTCATCTTGTCAAATTCGTCGATGCAACAGACACCCCCGTCGGAGAGGACGAGGGCGCCGGACTCGAGGACTAGTTGTCTCGAGTCGGGATCACGGGTCACGTATGCTGTGAGACCGACAGCAGACGAGCCTTTGCCGCTCGTATACACACCCCGTGGTGCGATCTTATGCACATACTGTAGCAGTTGAGATTTCGACGTCGAGGGATCTCCACAGAGAAGAACATTGATGTCACCACGGTATCGCGGGTTGCCACCCTTTTCAAAGGTCTTATTTGTCCCGCCAAACAGCTGCAGCAGAATTCCCTTTTTCACGTCCTCCATCTCATAAATGCTCGGTGCTAGAGACCGTGAAAGAAGCTCGTAGATATCAGGTCTCCGAGCAGTTTCTTTGATTTTTGCCTCTTCTTCCGCTGTGACTTTCCTAACCAGCTCCACGTCTCCGGCAATCTGCTCGGAAAGCTCTTGCTCCACGGTCATGACATCAACACCAAGTTTCTTGCGGTCAGTTTTTTGCACATGGAGCACATCCACATAGGTCTTGAATAGAGATTTGGTGGTGCGTTGGCGTGGATTAACCCGAACAGGATTGCAGCGGAAAATACCAGTAACCACAACTCTATCACCAGCCTTGCAAACGTCTACCAGTTCGTCATAGGCACAGAGCGAGACCGAGTGAGGTGTTTGTCCGTCAGGGATTGAGTCGGGTGTTTCCTGGAGTTTAATGACCTGCTTATCAGCAAAGGTCGACCGGTTGTGGATGAGTTGCATGGAGTTGGGCATCCCGCAAATTTCCCGTGGACATTTGGTAGGTTCCGCAATCTTGCCGCGGTCGATATCGACAGCAACGCTGAAGTGACAAGCCTCGCAACGGAAAAATGCTAGAGTAGGTTATGATAAGCGTTCTGCTAAATATAATTTGTGTAGGGGGGGGCCCACTGCTTACCTTCCTTCATATCTGGAATGACAGGGGTTGCTCGAATAACGAGACCCTTGATACTAATGAGTTTATCCATGTCTGCAATTGTAACCTGTTAGCAATATTCTTTTTAAAACAAAATGTAATGGAGCCTGGCATACCTGCAGGATCCAAGTCTCTCATGTTGACTGTTTTAGGCATCCCAAAGGGTAACACCTTGTAAGTCTTGCTTTCTACATCCGCCAGCAAATTCGGCACTTCAGACTGTTGAACCTGTGCCATCCCATTTCCAATTTCAGAGCTGGGAGCAGGGGGAACTGAACTGCTGTCTCTTGCTCTGGGTTGGCGTCTTTGACTAGCGTGTGCTCTAAGAGCTTCCATTTCCTTCAATGCCAGCTCAATCATGACATCCTTCACAGTTTGATCCATAATAGGAATGATTTCCTGCGGGTATGCTTGGACCTGATGCCAGAGCTTGAGCGTAGACGGGTAAGCCTTCAGATTGCGAATATCAAGATTCAATCCCGTTACGCCCAACTGACGCATGTCGTTCAACATCTTGATGTATTCCTTTTCTTCAGCCGCCGCACCCATGGCGCGGGTTTCTTCCTCAGAAGCGCCGTCAGCCCACATGCGATATTTCTTAGCGTAGTTGTATAGGAAATTCTTGAACGCGGCCATTGAGTCCTGGATGGAGATATTGGTACCCCAAATGATACGCGTAGAGCTTCCACCCAGGGCGTCCGCTTCGGAAGTATCTGGCTGTATATTTGAAAATGTAGCATCGGAATGAGGTTCTCCCTCGCGAACTGGTATGCCATTCTCATCGACGAATACTTGTCTGCGGTGGCCTGAGGAGGAGGCAAATGCATCGGAGTGAATAGCACCTCTTCTTGTGGATACGTTGGGGACTCCTGTTGATCGGATGGATTGGGAAGACCGGACAAATATGCCACCACTACTACTACTACTATGGATATCAGCCGTGCGACTCTGGTGGTTGTTTGCACGAGTTGGGCTTGAGCTGGACATGTAGCGAATTGGAGAAGAGTCTGTTGAATATAAAGTTAGCTTTCTTTTTTCTTTTCTCTCATACACAATGGAGGATGCAGATATACCTCCAACAATTGGACGAGCATTTGCTCTGGGTGTTCTGTCCCCATCTCCAGCATTTGGTGCCTCTCCAATCGGGGAGCTGGGTCCCATTCTTGCATCTGAAGAAAGGGAGTGACCTTGCGGCTGCGGAGGGGAGGATGATCGAAAGAATAAAGGGGATGAAACGGGAACATTGGCCTCTCTCAACCGTCTCGATGTCCGTGGGGAACTTTGCAAGTTATTCTGTAGTTGATGGCCTCCGTTTGCTACAGATGGAGGGCTGCTTTGGGGTTGAGGATTGGAGGCGCTGGCGTGGGTAGGAGTTGAAGCTGCGGAGTTTCTAGCTGGGCGGCCGCGACGGCGGGCTGAACTAGGGGTCGACATCACTAGAGAGAGGGCGGCTCTTTTATGGGTTATGGGCAATAGAACTGAGATGGTTTACTGGATATGGGTATTTTTTTGCTGGAAATAAAGCACAGAAGATAAACCGAGAGTGCTGTCGTTGTCGTGGTTGTCGTGGTTGATAGAACTTCAAAGATAAATAAATGAGCGAGATGACAATTGTGCAGGAAAACTTCAGAGGGAAGTCGCGTGGTGAGACGCGGTTTCCTGGACGACGCGTAAAGTGATTCCTATTTAGGATAGCGTGTTAAATCTGTAGTATTACTAATGTATTATGTTATATCACGATTTTGGGCGGTTGTTCATAGATATAACTAAGAAACGAATAACTAGCAACTAAACTGATGGCTTTACATATCTTTACATCCTTCGGCCCTATTTCTAGAGCAATTATGGTTTATCTATAGTATACAATTTTGATGTACTTTTGGCCATTGTTGTTGACTTTGAGATCTTTGAAGCATGATTTTATGCTCCAGCAGTACTCCGTAGTTTAAAGTGTAATCTTCAGAACCTTTATTTTCACAGTCATTCCAGTTGAAAACAAACAGCCCTTTTGAACAAACAAACAAAAGAATAGACCGCTAATCATTACACTTTAATTCTACAATCCATATAAAAATATCTCTGTTTCAACGGTCGTTGATTACTGGATTTCTTTCTTGGGTGATACACAACCATCGTTTCACCGCCGACGTCATTTCAAACAATTGGCAGGGAATGAAGCCCTGAAGAAACACCAAAACACCCCACTGCGCTGCATGATTGGTGCTGCAGGCCCAAATGCATGTTTACAGGGACCGCCCCTCACGTTTGACTGTAGCCAGCTCAGCGGTTAGAAATTTTAGACGATACAAGGGCCCAAAACCCTGTTTTCTCATCATTTCAGGCTTCGGGTTCACAACTCTCTGCCCTGATTTTCCATCGATTCCACCAAAATCTTGGGTTGAGGATCAAATTATTGACGCCGGGGGTTTGCAGGAAGACCAGCCGTCACCAGGAACCCTGGGGATGAGGACATTGGAGAATACCCATGGAATCATTAGTTCAATGATCGTCGTTGGTGACGACAGAGCCTGAAAGGGTCTGAGAGGAGGATGGGGGCAGATGGGCCCGGGGGCTGTTCGTGATTGCCCGGTTTGCGGTTGGTGCCTCACCCAGGGAAAAGCGACAGCGACTCCACAATGAATCGGCTCGCCTAGCTACGACCTGCCGTTTGCTGGTAGGAAAAGGACAGGGAGAATTCTTGACGACGCTTGATGACTTCAACCCACTCGCTCAATACTTGCTCTCTCTCTCTCTCTCAAAACTATACATATATACACACACTCTCTCTCTCCCCTTCCCCCCGCTGGGCACGGGATTATTCTCTGTTGGCTTGTCAACTCCTAGTTTCCCCTCTTTCCTTTCACTGTATCTGTCTGTCTCCCCGAATTCCCACGTTAAACCTCGTCCTTAAATACGTCACTTTTGAAGGTGAGAAGCACAGTGGACAACTGAAAGAGGCCTGTGTACACACTCTTTCACTCTGCTTTGTCTAATTGGCTCCTTTGCCTGCATAAACAGCACACTTTCTTGTATCTTTATTGTTCACTCTTTATGTTCTCTTTCCTTCACTTTTCCTCCCCTAGAATACAAACATACGCACCCTCTCCAGTCTGCGAAGCCGGTACTTCACACACCCGAACCTGCCAGATCCTCGCCGACAAGACCTAAAAATACCTAAAAATATCATTCTCCTTGCACTCTCTAGCTTGGGGGATTTCTACGTCTTGCATTTGTCCATCCTACGTCGGCGGTGGGTTAATCTGTGGTTGATTATGATACTGGCCATCATTACCGAAAATGTCCAGTAACAACCAGAGCGTGGCCGCTGCGCTTGACGCACAGAGTGGCACGGGCCAGAAGACAGCGGGCATGTCAATTACCACGTTCCTGGCATCCCTAGCTACCGCTGTCATCATTTTCGCAGTCGAATTTCTCCTGTTTATCCTTCTCAAGGGAAAACTGACCAGGATATAGTGAGCAAATACTCATCTCCCCTTGCCCATCCCCAAAGGGAAACAGGGAATTGTTAAAAGACTATTTTAACACCAGGGACTTCTTTTTAAAAAAAAAAAAAATTTTAGCCAACCCCGAACATATCTAGTCCCAGAACGAGAACGCACAAATCCTTCCCCAGCTGGTCTACTTAGGTGGATTGCGCCAGTATTCAGGACTTCCAACTCAGAATTCATTCAGAAGTGTGGTCTCGATGCCTACTTCTTCCTACGATACCTACGAATGCTTCTCAAGATTTTTCTCCCTCTTTCTTTCATCATCCTCCCAGTACTTATTCCTTTGAACAAAGTGGGAGGAAAGGACACCAAACACGTTGCGTCTAGGAACGGCACTCGGTACAATGTGACTGGCTTGGATCAGCTGGCCTGGGGGAATATCGCGCCAGAACATACAAATCGATATTGGGCCCATCTGGTTCTGGCAGTCATTGTCGTTGTCTACGTGTGTGCTGTTTTCTTTGACGAGCTTCGTAGCTATATCAGGCTACGGCAAACATATCTGACGTCGCCCCAACATCGATTGCGGGCGTCAGCTACCACGGTCCTGGTGACTGCCATTCCTTCAAAATGGCTATCAGTGGATGCTCTTGATCGCCTGTATGATGTGTTCCCTGGAGGCGTCCGCAATATTTGGATAAACCGCAACTTGGACGAGCTGAGTGAGAAAGTGAAGCTACGTAATAAGATTGCTCTAGTTCTTGAATCTGCTGAGACAGAACTAATAAAGAAATGCAAGAAGGCGCAGCTGAAACAGGCAAAAGCCCAGGCCAGAAAATCAGGCAAGAAGCCAGCTGAAGTGGATCATGAAAAATTGGCTGCGGAACAAAGAGCCTCTCGTCTCGCTGAAGAACCTGGTATCAGCTCGGGGAACCCCCACGAAGCTCGAACCATCCAGGAATTATTACACGGCCGTCGCGAAGAAAGGACATTTACGCAGCAGGGACATGGTAATCGTGGTTTCATTCCACTTGTGGGTAATGGGGTGGGGTTGGTAGGATCTGGAGTTGCAAAGCTCGGGAAAACGGTTTGGGGCGGTTTCCGGAAGGTCGGCCACACTGCTGATGACAGATTACATGCCCCTGGTGGGTTTGACGGCCAGATGGAAAATGATGCTATAAATATGCATCTGGATCAACCAGGTGAAGCTAATGGCGCTGGTACCGAACTCGGATCTGAGAAGCCTGTGAATGGTCTGAGGAGAGCTGGAACCACTGCAGTAAAGCCAACAGATAATGCCCAGCATCAAACGGGAGCCCATGTCGATGGTTCCCCCGAGACCGATGGGGCCCGTCCGTCCTTGGGAGAATCGTATGTAGAAGGACCCCATAATATGGATGGGTTGGTTGATCAACAACCACACCCCGCACGATTGAAGCTATGGAAAAACTCGCGATCACCAAATGCCCATCAGGATCACCACGACGATGAGCACCCCTTGACGAACCCTGCCCCCGTAACACCATTGGATGAGAGAAAGAAAAAAAAGGCCTTCCGATTCAGCAGACGTCGCCCTGCTAAGGAAGGCGACGAGATTGAAGGGCAGGCATACCCGATGGCCTATAACGAGGAGTTCGAAGAGGATGACTATGGGGACCCTCTTTGGATGAAGTACGTCAAAGAAAAAGATCGTGAGACTATGCGTCTACCGATTTTTGGTTGGAGCTGGATGCCCACAATACCTCTCCTAGGCAAAAAAATGGATAAGATCTACCACTGTCGTCAGGAACTCTCCCGCTTGAATCTGGAAATCGAAATTGATCAGCAACATCCGGAAAAATTCCCGCTTATGAATTCTGCCTTTGTTCAATTTAATCATCAGGTGGCTGCTCATATGGCCTGTCAATCTGTCAGCCATCATATACCAAAGCAAATGGCACCGCGGCTGGTGGAAATATCTCCAGACGACGTCATCTGGGAGAATATGTCTATCAAATGGTGGGAGCGATACTTGAGGACTTTTGGGGTGCTCGTTATTGTCTCTGCCATGGTCGTTGGCTGGGCTTTCCCCGTGGCCTTTACAGGTTTGTTGTCTCAGCTTACCTATCTTGAAGGGCAATTTTCCTGGCTGCGATGGCTCTCTAAATTGCCTACCTGGTTAATTTCGGCAATCCAGGGCATCTTGCCGCCATTGTTTCTCGCTATCCTCATGGCCATCTTGCCTCTCCTCCTGCGATTTCTCTCCAAGAACCAAGGCGTGCACACGGGAATGGCTGTCGAGTTGACTGTGCAGAATTACTATTTTGCCTTTCTGTTCGTTCAGATATTCCTCGTCGTCTCGATTTCGTCTGGCTTTACCACCATATTCAATTCCATCACGGATGTGACAAGTATTCCTGAGCTTCTGGCTCAAAATATTCCTCGAGCTAGCAACTATTTCTTCTCCTACATGGTGCTTCAAGCCATGTCTGTCAGTGCTGGTGCGCTGGTTCAGATCTTTGGTCTTGTCAGCTGGTTTGTTTTGGCTCCTATTCTAGACAACACTGCCAGACTGAAGTGGGCGCGGACCACGAATCTCAATCAGATGCAATGGGGTACTTTCTTCCCTGTATATACGACCCTAGCATCAATAGGTAAGTTCGTGATTGTGAATTTGCCCATTTTGCTGATTTTGTGCAACCGTTTCTAATCTTTATCTGCTTTATTAATAGGCCTGATCTATTGTGTCATTTCCCCACTCATCATGATTTTCAATGTGCTCACCTTTGGGCTATTTTGGTTCGTTTATCGATACAATACTCTTTACGTTACGAAATTCCGCTTCGACACGGGAGGTCTGCTTTTCCCTAAAGCTATCAATCAACTTTTCACTGGCATATATGTCATGGAAATCTGCCTTATTGGCATGTTTTTCCTCGTCAGAGACGTGGACGGAAACTTTGCCTGTGAAGGTCAGGCTATCTGCACGATAGTCGTCTTGATTCTAACAGTTGGCTTTCAATACCTCCTCAACGAAGCGTTTAACCCGTTGTTCCGGTATTTGCCGATAACACTGGAAGACGAGGCGAGCCGTCGCGATGAGATATTCGCTCGTGCCCAACGGAAGAGACTGGGTCTGATGGAAGAAGGCGATGAAGACGACAACGACGACGACGACGAAGAAGAAGAAGAAGAAGAAGACAACAACGGTCAAGACCATGACAGTGACTATAACCACTGCGAAAGACCAGTGGAGCATGGGAACATCAAGCTAGGCCGGATCGACGGCAGGAAAGATAAGATGGGAACGATGACCCGACAACTCGGCAAACTTGTGCCGGGTAGCCACAAACACAAACGCATCTCATGGGCCGATCGATCCAGAAATCGCCACTCCAAATACTTTGGCGGACGCTCAGACCCCACCATCCCGACCATCAAACACATGCGCGAAAAGCTAGCAAAGGACGCAGAATCCCAAGTCACGGCAACCCATGCGATAGGCCAGGCGCTTTTTTCAGGCATCCACGATGAACTGGAAGATCTCACGCCGGACGAACGCGACCAGCTCGTCCAGCGGGCGTTCCAGCACGAGGCGCTGCGCATGAAACGCCCCGTCATCTGGATTCCGCGGGATGATCTGGGTGTTAGTGATGATGAAGTATTCAGGACGCAGCGGTTTAGCAAGCATATTTGGATTAGTAATGAATATCAGGCGTTGGATGGGCGGTGTCGGGCGATTTTTAGTCGGAGTCCGCCCGATTTTTCGGAGGTGGATTTAATTCAGCTTTGAGTCGATTGAGCGGGCGATAAATTGATTATGCATAAGCGTTTCCTGTTTATTTTTTTATTTTTTTTTAAATTTTTCCCCTCCCCTGTGTGACCAGTATTCATTGCTTCTCTTTGTCTAATCTACGTATTTTCTCTCTTTGCATCAAGGAGCAAGCGCTGGCGTTTTCTCGAGAAAGTACCTATTTTTCGAGTTCATGAGGGGCAAGGGAAGGAAAGGAAAGGGAAGAAGAGATGGAGGAGATGGAAAAATCATAACTCGAGCAAAAACCATAGATAATTTCACAATTCCCATGAAACTTGGCCTGCTGGCATGTCGCAACCACACCCTTATGCATTATCTTAGGGCTTCGCGGTGTGCCTGTTTCCTGCAACTTCAGTAGATGATTTGACATGCCTATCCACATCTACTCCTCTTTTTATAGTCTATAACGGTCACCTCATCCCGCATTGTCCTGTTTGTATATAAAGTCATAGACGGAAGGAAAGAAAAGAACATATATATTACCAGTAGGATATTCGCAAGAAGATCAACTCCGGATTGTATAACGCATCATGCCGGATTTCCTGTGGAAGTGGATCTAGAGTGGAACTCCAGACCAGCACATACCTGCATCGACATGAGAGTGAGAAGAGCGCAAGATACCCTTCTGATTGGGAACAACCAACTCGTTTCAAGTTTCTTTCTGCCAACCTTTTTTTTTTTTTCTTTTCTTTTCCCATGCTAACCCTGTTGTACTATTGATGTTTCAGAGAACCTTAGTGCAAACACGCATCACTTAACAGTTAGCCACATGTTGCTTTGTTTTGTGCAAAAATTTCTGGGGTCTGCCAAATCTAGATGTCAGCCACTCTGGAGTAACTACGTAACAGCCCCTTTGCGAGTGGTTTTTTTTTTTTTTTCTTTTCTTTTCTTTCCGCGTCGCCTCGTCAGCCGCTACACAGTATCCGGAATAGCCTTCCTGAGATTTTATGCAGTAATTTCAGAGGAACTCTGTTCACCTGTCCTCGTACCCAGCCATATCGTCCGCAGCAAGGTCATGCATAAAGTGGTCCTGGCTACTGGTTTATTCGGGGCTGGTGGCTCAAGCCGTGAAATGTGCCGAAGGGTTGTGTTTGCACATATTATCTTCCGCCTCTTCTCTCAGGGAGCTCTTGTTTAAAACTCAATGAGACTGGTCTGGGCAAAAGGAGAGACAAAAAAAAAAGCAAAAGCAAAAAATGTCGAATCGGGCCAAGCACTGACAGGCAACACGTTTTGCCATGGCTGAACCTGACGCCGTTCATTGGCCCTTCAGCTCCCCAGTGAGCGTGTGCTTCTGCTGCTTCCACCAGGCTGGAGCGTCAGATGAAACATATTTTAGTGTGGATTCTGTGAACTTGTGCTTTTGGAATTATTATTAGCAGCTGCCTGGGCATGGACGATAGGCAATTGGGGCGGGGGGGGGGAGGGTTAGTTTAGTGGCATTTATATATCCCTGTTAAACCAGTTCATCCATGAAAACAAATCTCTTGCAAGGAGCCTTGTGGCTGATGAAGATCGGCATACATAAGGAGACCGACTGAACCTTCGACAGCCCAAGTCGGTCGAATGTTCCACTCTCTCCTCTTCTTGTGGCCCATGTCCATCGATGTGTCGGTTATATTTTATTCCTGGTCATACACATAGTCATATATATATCTGATCATCTTCTCAGATAATAGAGAGTGGCTCACATTGTAATCAGAAAGACAGACATACTTACCTTGCCCCCTTAACTTACAACCTCATTCTCCACGGAGTCAGGCACCCGTCCACCACACCAAAAAAAAAAAAAAAAAAAAAAAAAAAAAAAAAAAAGAACCTCGCCTACTCTTGAACAATGACCTCTCGCTCCACCCTCTCCCTCACATCCCTCCTCATCCCCCTCCTCATCCTGAGCCTCCACACAATCCCCACAGCTGCCTCTTCCTGCATCCGCACCAATGACGTCGAGCGTTGCTGTCCCGGCACCATGCGTGGCGGCATAACCTACGACAAAGATGGCCTAAAGCCCCAAGGCGTCTGCTGCATAACCCCAGACAGCACCCTCGAAAGAAGGAAAATCGACCCTCTCCGCTTCATCCGCCGCCAGACGCTAGGCACCAACGGCCTGCCCACGGAGTGCGACGATGGCGAAGTCACCGTCCCCCTGAGCGCCAAGGACTATGACAAGCAGGTATCTTCCGTCGTGGCTTCGATTAGCAGTGAGGCGTCTGTTGCCTCTTCGGCGGATGTCACTGCTGCTGCGACTGAGAATGCTCGAACCACTCAGACTGCCACCACGACTCAGGGCGCGGGCACGACTCAGGGCGCAGGCACCAGCCGGCCTGCGAGTCCGAGCTCGACCATCAGCACTGGGGGTATGCCCGCGGCGACGGGGCGGATATCATATTTTGCTGCCGCTGGAGGGGCCGTGGTGGCCGTGGTAGCTGTTGCTGGCGTCTTGTAGAGAGCAGAATGCTGGAGCTTACCATCTACATTCTACCAGCATTTAGGCTTTTAGAGGTATAGCAAAATCGCAGTATTTCCCAGGCTAAAGGATGGTCTTTTATGAGATGGTTATGCGTTTCTTTTCCTAAGTTCTGGTTTTCTTCTGGTCGTTTCCCCGCCCCCTTTTACTTCACCCTCATTGTTCTTTTTATCACCCTGATCTTCGCCAGTTAGTGCCGGATTTGTTGGTTATCAGAGAATTGCCTCAGACACAGCACAGCTGGATATGGATATGGATTTGGATGTTGAAGTTTGATGCTTATCACTCTTGGAAAAAAGAAGGACCGTGTTCTCAGATTATTTTTATAATAAGACGAAGTCGATAATTTCTTTTCTTCCTAATGTCTGCATAAAACCCAATCACAAAATGGTTCAATCCCAATGTCATGAATCACCAACTGTCTATGACATCATTTCCAGAGAATCAGCAACAGCAGCAACAACAGCTAACAGGAGAGAATCTTTGCAATTGGCGGGTCCCTATACCATAGAGCCACTATTGTAAAACACAGCCCGGTTCCATATCAAGAAGTGAGCTGTTGTCAAAACCAGGAATAATACGCCATATCGGACCATCATCCAGCGGGAAATGGCCGGATATATCTTTTCCCAATTTACCCCGCTCACGAAAAATTCATTGATTTGATTAACCCCAAGCCCCAACCGGCCAAGCACGCTCGATTTCTTTTTCCCCCCTTCATCACTTCTCTACTTTCGTTTCCTCCAAATATCGCAAATAAAAAGGATAAAAGCCCTCTTTCATCATTGGAGATTGCCTCGCCTGCCATATCTTACCCTGAATACACTCCTCATCTCTCTCCAAAGCCATCATCATCTGGGACCAGTCGCATTCCAAACTAATCGAAAAATGTGCAAGCCAGCCACCTGCCCCACCTGCTGTAAGTGCAGCACACAATCCCATGTTGAATCTACGGAGTAATTGACAAACTCCACATCCCATTTCTCATTTCACATCTTGCATTCTCATCTACTCCTGAATCCGTGTCCCATTTTTTGCCTTCAAATACCAACCCGCTAACACCTGTCCCTCCCCCCCCCCCGCCTCTGGGAAAACGGAAACCCCATCACAGCCAAGAAAACTTGGTTTGGCTGCGGTCAGCACATCGCAGGCGTCATGGACACGATCCCCACAGAGGATTGGTGTACCTGCGCTCCGAAGGCCAAGTTTGGCGAGAAGGAATATCCGCCGCGCACTGGTGAAGGGAAGGCTGCCGAGTCTAGCTAGAGCGGGGTTCCGCCAAACAGATGGTGGTGTTTTTTTTTTTTTTTAAGGGGGGGTGGGGATTGGAGTCTAATAAACTGAAGATGTTGCTGCTATATACATGATAGAGGGTTATGAGAGAGAGAGAGAGAGAGACGTTAATATTTAATAAAAACACAGTGGGAATAATGGGATGCGGTGTCTGACAATGATGGGGTTTCGAGGGCGGCTTGTATTTGGTTAGTTGGTTCGGCAAATGGGGGCTTGAAAACAAAACGCCGGTGATTCTTTCTTTTCGCTTCCTTCTATGTAGATATATATTTTGATTCTTGAGGGACGAGGATGAAAATCTCATGCGCATATTTCTACCTGGGGATTGGGATTTCTCTTAAGCTCTACAATAGTTACGTATCGAGCGTCCTGTATTCACGATACTGCCCCGATTTCATAGTTGCGGCGCAGCAAACTTTCGTCTTAGTACCAACCAAATAGTTACGCACCGGGAGGTTAACAAAGGATATAACTCAACTCCCCCGTCCCTCGGGCCTTTTTTTGGCCCCTTCATCTCTGTGTATATTGGACGTCCTAAGGTTTCTTTAATGTCCAAAAAAATCTTCGAACTCCCAGTGTTTCCCCCCGCAGGAATATGTATATATCTCTCTCTATATAGATTTGGATATAAAGAAAGAAAAGTTTTATTTATTGGCCCCTTCTTTCCCCGGAATACCCCCGGTTTGTGCCCAGGGTTTCTCTCGCTTTCCCCCGCGTTTCGGTGATCAACCCCCCCCCCCCCCCCACGAAACCAGGCCAGTGAGAGTTTTCACCGAATTCCCCGCCACCCGTATTCTCGATATTCAGGTATCAAGGGTGCAGCTGCATCAGATGCAACTTGCCAACTGAATACAGAGTTGAAGAAAAGCGTACACCAGGCAACCGGAAAAGGCAACAAAATATGCGTCTAGAGAGCCAAAGGGACCCAGTGGCTGGGCCAGAGTCTGGCCCTGAACGTCCGTTTCCCATGAAACTCTCTGGTCCAGTTATCAAGGGGTTCGGGAGGGGTAGTAAGGAGGTAGGTTTGTTCTTTATGTTTATGTTTATTTTATTTTATTATATCATACCTTTAAAAAAAAAAAAATCTTGCTTTTTATCTCTATTCCTCCTTTATACATTTATATTCAACTGTCGATTGTCCTTTTTCATTCTCTTCTCGTGGATGAGTATCCCCCCCCCCCCCCCCCCAGCGGGACTGCCCGATGTCCGCTTGTCTTTACGATCCAATCCCACATTGCCTTCCTTGCACCCGATGCATCAGTGGGATTTGTTAATGAATAGGAGAGGACATGAATAAACTCTCCTCTTGCTGCGCAATGCACTGCATATTAGTTCTCTTTTAAGTTATACTCCTGATATACCCTTCTCCGCCTCTCTGCAACTCCGTTACTGCATAAGAAAGCTCTCAGGATGAAATAAATAATGTACCATGAAAATGTTGGATATCTCTTTCTCCTCGAGCATCCTCTCTTTCTCACTCACCGTTTGCTGCTGTTTTGTTTTCTCTTGCCCTTTCCGTTATCTACATCAGACCGAAAGGCCTCTGCTAAAAGCAAATACGCAGCTCGGAATCCCCACCGCCAACATTCCCCCTGACTCCCTTTCAGCATACGGACATGTCGAGTCAGGCGTCTACTACGGCGTCGCCGCCCTTGACCCTTCCAAATTCAGATATAAAAGGGATAGCGATGCCGAGAAACACACAAATGGTGCCCTTGAAACGCCTCCACCAGAGCCTACACCTGAAGATGCGGATGCAAATGTCTTCCCCTGCGTTCTGAGCATAGGGTATAACCCCTTCTATAAGAATACGGTTCGGTCTGTGGTATGTAAATGCGCGTATTTTTTTTTTTTTTAAAAAAAACAAAATTATCCTCACTTTATGATTTAAGATTGCCTCCTCACCCAAAATGAGAGGAAAAAAAAAAAAAAAAAAAAAAAAAAAAAAAAAAAAAAGCTGACCAACTTCACCCAGGAAATCCACCTCCTCCCCCAATTCACCAGTCCGAGTTCCAGCATGAACGGCTCCCCTTCAGCCCACCCAATCAACAACACCGCCCAAACGAACCAGCAAACCCAACCAACCAACTTCTTCCGCCTGCCCGATTTCTACGGTACACGCCTGAACCTGTTGGTGCTGGGCTATATCCGGCCTGAATACGACTATGTTAGCCTTGAGGCGCTGGTGGATGATATCCGAATCGACTGTGAGGTGGCGAGGAGGAGTTTGGAGAGGACGGGGTATCTGGGCTATTTGAAGGGAGCTGACGGCGGAGAAGGAAAGGGAGTGAGGGAGGCGAGGGACTGGCTTGAGGGACTTTTAGGTGGACAAAGGCCCATGGGAGTGAGAGTTTTGGTGGAAGCTGAAGCCCATGCTTTTTTTATCTTCTATTTTCTTCCTTTGATACCAAACTCAATCTTGGTTTTGGATTCCTGGGGAAATTTTTTTTTTTTTTTTTTTTAAAAAAAAGAAATAAATAAGTTTTCCCAGAAATGGTGTCCCCAGGGTTTCGGTTATAGACTGGATAGAAGTGTTTTGATTTAAACCCGAGGTTTATCGAGGGGTTCCTTTTTTTCCGGAGTGAATTTAGAATCAAACTCAAGGACGAAAGCTTCATTCATCGTGACCCATCATCATCATATATATACAAGCGCGCATTTTCTCACCGCCTGGCTGACATACACTAGCAGATACAAGAAGAGAACAGAATATATACAATGACATCAAACTCCTCTCGATTCCCACCCGTGGAAATCACTCTTTTTCTCTCCACAAGTAGTCGTAAAGGGAAGGAAGAGGGCATTTTTGTACGAGTATCTCTGGAACAGGAAAGGAGATGATGATGAAAAAATAAAAAGAAAAAGAAAACCCGAACACCCCTTTTTGTTCCGCCCAGTGGGGGTCATTTTAAGTAGACGAAAAGAAAGAAAAAGAATATATGAACAACATGCGGGGCTTTCTCCAAAATAAACAATACCATTAAAAGAAGAACGTGTTGGTCATCATCGTAGATATCAGGAGAAAAGATGATTGTCGATAGGAGCGGTAACTTGAATCAATATATAGAAATAATGCCAAATAAGCTAAATCAAGTGAGAAAAGAAGAAATTAATCTGTAGACATCCAAGACCGCAGACCTTAAGCCTTCAGCTAAATGCAGGGTAGGAACTATATCAAAGCGAATGAACTTGTTAGTAGGACAATCCTAGAACCCCCCCCGGGGGGGATCCACCAGGCGGGGGGGGGGGCCCC